GATTTTTATTAGTTCTAAAATTTATAATGGTAGTCATTATAATTAGGAAGAAGTTTAAAGACACTTGCAGTATATTTGGCATAATTTTAACACCTCTCTGGATGTTTTAACTTTGCATAGTGAGCTTATGAATTTAAAGAATGCTGCTCTGCTGAGCTTTGATGCTACAGATATTGCTGATAAAATTACCCATGCCCTGAGATCAGTATTTCTCTTTTGATCAAGCTTCAAGAATGGCATATATAGCTTGATCATGCTAGCTCTTTTTGTCCTGGAAATACTTTTATTCCTGCGTTTTATTCCGTTCTGTTAAAGATTATGTTTAACAACATTAACATGTTGTCAACCAAAGTACTTGGCTTGAAACTGAAAATGCACCCCCATACAAAGTTGCTAAATTAATAGGCTGGCAAGCCAAGGACGGGTAAGATTCTGCACATAACTTTACCAACCTAAGACCAAAGTGCATTGCTTTTGATAATGCATATTCCATGATGGGTAAGGAAAGTATTCTTGTCAGAATGACCTAAGACAGGCTCAGTCTTGTTTATGAAATGAAAAAGGGGGAGAGGTGGAGAGCTTTTGGGGCTGCTTGACAAGAATCTGACATGGTCCAAGGACAAGGAAATGGGCTTCAGACAGCAATCTGACATTAGGCTAGAACAAAGAAGTAATTTTAGGCAGGAATCTAAATTTTAGGCTAGAACAAAGAAGTAATTTCAGGCAGGAATCTAAATATTAGGCTAGAACAAGGAAGTAGGCTTCAGACATCAAAATGACTTTGGCCTAGGACAGGGAAGTAGGCTCGTATATTTTGGTCATCCTGATAAGCCCTTAGAAACAGTGATCATGGGCATATTCAGGGAACTTTGTTTATTGCCTTGCTTGTTCTTTGACTATTTATGTTTATTGCTTCACTTGTTCCTTGACTATTTGCATCTACTGTATTGCTAGTTTCTCAGCCTAAAACTGACCTTAATACTTGCATGTAATTAAAATGGTATTTAAGCAAAAAAAGGAGGGGGGATGGGATATGGGTTTTCTAGTGAGGGGAAAGGAGATGGCATCTGAAATATAAATAAATAAAATATCCAATAAAAAAACAAATGCACTGGAATTACCTTTTACAAAGGAACAAAAAATATTGCTGAAGTATATAAGCACAGGGCAGTGAGAGATATGGAGAGGGGAATGTATAAATTCTTTGAGTTCACTTTTATTTCTTTCACCATGCAACTGCATTTAATATTTTCTGAAACAAGCAATAATGTTTGAATGAAAAAAAAAATACAACATTTTAAATATGACCAAGTGAAAGATATTATTTAGATAGTGAATATTCACAAAAACTTGTTGTTTCACATTCCCGGGAGGCTCTTTGCTTAATGAGAAAGGAACATTTATCCTCTCACAAATACAGTGTTATAAATTTATACTAATATATGGATACATCTATAAACACAGATAATCTGTATTTGTCACAGGCAATGTACTTGTAAATGAAACATTATGTAAATAATGCTAAGCCACATGCAGTTCTTCTTCCCAATGTGAGTGTGGCTGATTTAGCAGTGGAAAAGCAAAGTCACCCACAGTGATTTATACATGCTCAAATGTTTAAATATATAGTGTTCATTTCATAAAACATGGTGTAGCCTTAGTTAATGATTCTAACGAACTCTCAATACAAGAACAAGTGATTAGCCTTCTTTCTTTTATCCATTGATTGGCATACATTCTTATGTGTCTTACCCACTCACAACCAGACCAACTGACTTTTCTTATTCCTAAAGTGAAAATAATAATCTCCGAGATCCACTCCAGCTTTAAGAAACATAGAAGACCAAGCTCAGAATTCCTTATTGTGGGACACCATCTTCCCTTTAACCAACCATTAAACACTGAGACAATTATCTACTCTCTTATTTCCATGAGTAAGGATAGTTCAGGGTGATTAAATAATTTGTCTAAACAATTCCAAAGATGGTATTAAATTTAAGAGCCTGAATTGTAGTATGTATTCTGCACCTACTCTTCTGGGGTATAAACTTCTTTATCAAAACTACCTGTTACAAATGATGTACTACTAGTAAAGTTATCAATCTTTATCTATAAAGAGCCATTTCTTAGAACATTCATTTGTAAATCTAAAATGAAAATATATGTCTACAACTTCCAATTATGTGGTTTTTATATTCATACAATTTGAAAATAATAGTTCAGACAATACATTGTTGTGTTACGATCTTCAATCTATTTCTTACATTGTGTTTGATTTTCAGTCACTAGACATCCAATATCTACAAAAATAACTCATAGTTTATAGAGATAGAGTCAAACATTTCTCTAGTTGCCCTTCAGTGAAATTGATCAAGGTATATGATGATCACTTAGACTATGTAACAGCAACACATTTCTTGTTCAAAGCAACTTAGCTAAGATGTTAGCCAAACATGTACATGCATTATATAATGCCAAGGTAGCTATGCATGTCTATTGATAATGACTTTCTCTTAGGTCCAGAGTACAGCTAGGGCAGTTAGACAGAGCTTTGCTTCTTAAACAGTGAAATTGTGATGAATAACATCTTAGGTAGTACTGTCACAAATTTTGACCAGGAGACATGGCTTAGTAAAAGCTCAATGTGTGTTCTCAATAAATGCATTTTATTTTTAGCCATGGCAATATTCTCTTGCTCTTTTGGAATCATACTATATAAGCTTACATTAGCTTGCCCTATGAACAAATAGAAACTTGTCATCTTCAGATGGATACATCCATCTGACATTTGACTTTATTAATTCAGACTTTATTTTATCATTTTATTTCAGATATTTTTCATAATTCAATTCTAATACATTTCCTTACTGAATATTTTATCCCAAGCAAATGGCAATTATCAAAGATATACGAGTCACTTATCCTTATTGCAATGTTGGCTTGCTCCAGATCTGCACTCCTCTATACTCTATTCAGAAGAACAAAATCCCCAGTACTATGCTTTTTAAAGAAAATCTTTCTGTTCATGTTCTGATTTGATCTTGGACTCTCACTAATTTACCTAATTTTTGGTATATTTTAATCTTTTTTATAAAAGGGTCACTGCAGATGTCTGTAGAGAAGCACAGGTTTCTCATTATTTAATGTGAAAAGCCTTGTGACAGTAATTTCTCATGCATATTGAATTAAAATTAATTATCATATGTTCCTTGAAGAAATGGTAACAGGCATGGGAAGATCAAACTGAAATTGTGCTGCTGTGGCCCGATAACAGGGTCTCTAGTTTGCAGTCTCTGTCTTTACGTTTTTCATCACTCTAATATCAATTCTCAATACTTTTAGTGTATGACCAGGAGTTTTGTATCCATGAAAGAAAATAGATTTGCTGTAGCTAGATTTTAATATATTTGCTTGTGCAGCAAAAGATAGATGCTGATATTTATTTAAAACCATGTTTGACTGGCTGTACAAAGAACTTTCCAACTGGAAAGCAAAGGTCAATAAAAAGTCAGCAGCACATCTAATAATGACAATAAAATATAGAGCTATTTTCAATTGTGCAATACTTTTTAAAGGGACCTTAATGCCTGTTATTAGAATGTTACTGCCTCAAGTTTTACCATCCGAACTTCAGCATTCAAAGACATGAGTAGTTAACCGTCTGCTTAAGGCAATCAAAATGGACTTAGAGATGTGACTTATCTGTTATACCTTAGTAGAAACTCCCATGGAGATCTGATGCCAGTACAGATTTACATGCCAGAACCTTACATTAAAATATTAATATCTTACATATAACATTATGGAATGAAAATTCCAAATGATAGTTAGAATCTTTGATTCTGTATTGTGTCTTCTCTTTGAATCCTGGCAGACCATAAATTTCATAATGCCATGAATATTACTAAAATTTTTTCTTGTCTTTCTGAAACTTTCGTTTATATTAGCATCGCATGCGTATGCCACCATACCAGACATACCATATTTCCAGTGGTATTTATAGGTTCAGAAGCAATGAAAATGCAAAATACAATTCAAGATGATAACTTACCATTTACATTTTCACATGCTTAATGATAATAACACAAAAACCATTCCAAGAAACACATACCAATTATCTTATGGCTCCAGAATTATTCTTGGTATATTTATACTTTTTTACCAGAGAATTAATATGGAGTATGATTTTTTTAAAAAAAAAAAAACATTTTCTTTTCTTTTTATATATTTATTTCTTCCTTAACAACTGAATTTTAGTTGATTTAAGATTTTAATCGATTACAAGTAAAGACTCTGAGGAATTCTCAAAAGTACAAAATCTTAAATATGCATCACTATCAAAGGGAAGATATACTGTCTATTCCTCATTTAACAGGGTCTACTATTAAAGATGGAGATGCAGTAGTACTTCTTCTAAGTGGACAATTGGAATCAATTTACTTAACATCAGATTCCACTCTATTTATCATCTGTAGGGAAAAATATTTTATCAGTTTGATAAGTCTTATGTTTCAGGAAAAATGCTACAAAAAATTTTGTAAAGCATAAAACATTTAACCACAATAATAGATGAGTATGTACATAAATTCTATAGTATTTCAGAGAAATTTACTAATTTTAAAAAAATTAACCAATTTCATTAAAACATATCAAGTTTGACACAGTTTTTGTTATTCTCCAATACTTGTGTCACAGGGAGACCACGTAGCTTACCCTAGGTAAAGCTAAGGGACATTGCTATAAGGGTACTTACGATGTTGTCAGCAAGCTTATGATGTGTCTACATTAATATCTTCCCTTTTAAGTCCTTATGTTAATTACTTCTTTATGGGATCATTATAATTCTTCCATAAGAGATGATTTTGATAAACTAGAAATACCACAGCTAATATATTCAAAACAGAAAATTATAAATTGCACACAAAGTTTTACCAAAATCTTTGAGGGAAAAAAAGCAAAGGCATTTCAGAATGCCAAGAATGAAACAAAACGGCTCCTACCTGATCGGTCAAAGTTCACCTCATTGCCGGGACTTGGGCCCACATCAATGGACACAATCGGAATGAGCTTCCGGAAGTCCCACAGCTTGGTAACTCCACGGGCATCACAGGATGCTATTATGTGACCCTTTAAAACATATAATAAAAGAAATAGATATATTGTAACCCACAGTAAAAACATAACTGTGAGATTTATGTTTCAGTTTTATCAGTGCCACACAAAATACATTTCTCTAACCTAAAAAGATCATTATAAAGTTACATCAAATTCTGTCCTTAAGATATGAAGTCTCACATAAAAATTATGAAAATACATTTTAAGAAAGCTCTTAGATTTTAGTTATCTGAAACAATGTAAAAATATAAAATATATAAATCCTTATACTTTGTTTTATTATGTAAATTATATGTTTTGAGATATGTGACACATAAATATAAATATGAAAAATCCCTTCATATGTGCATTTCATTTAACTTATGAACTAGTAATGAAGTGGTAATGCTATTTAATGCCCCAAATGAAGTGAAAATACGAGTTAGGAAGATAAATAGGGGCAATGGTCAGAAGATTAACTGGGTTCAGTGAAAGAAACCGGCTGCAGGTAAATGATACTGATTGTGGTCCTTTAGACAAACTTCTTAGCAGAGATGGGCTACTTTGTTAATATATTCTATCGGTTTGATTGTTTATGTTCTCACAGGAAAATGCTAGAAACAAACAATTTTATAGAGAATAGAACACTTAATGACAATTAATAACTGTTGTATTGGAACAAGGCGGAAGGTGTTTGGATACATCAGAGGAAAAACAGAAGAGTAGATGAAGCAAGTGTAATGGAGAAAGGGAAGGGGCTTTCCCAGCATAGCAATTAGCCTGAGCTCATCCATCAGGAATTCCAGGGCTGTCTAGGCTTCCTGTCTAGACATTGGCCTCTCAGAAAAAAAATGTCACTTTTTGACATAACTGTGAGATTTATGTTTCAGTAACCAATCCGCATCAGTAACTTGGGATGAGGTGATAGGCGAGAGGGGTTTCTGCTCTGCATCTACACTCAATCTTCTTGTTTTGCATTCAATTTCTTGCTCATTCATAAGTGCAGTGAATCAGGCACATTAGAACCATATCACTGTTCACAGTCACTCCCTAGACTGACTCTTTTCAATTGGTTTTACAGTTCCTCCTTTAAAATCTAGTTTGATTTTTTTAACTGCCAAGTAAAAAACTTTCCCTTCTTTCTATATTTTCAAAATCTTAAAAGGTATTAACTTTATTACTAAACAGTTTGGTTATTTCAATCAATGTTATATTTGCTCTTTTCTTATTTACTGCCAGTAGGATATCCTTCCTATAAGAACTGAACAACTTTTATAAATAATAGTTAAAGGGAATCTTGTCCGTGTCCCTAAACACACCAACTGTACAAAGGATGCCATTAGTGTTAAAATTCCATAACTGATGTCACTGGCAGCGTAATATAAAAGCTGTGTTTTTATTCCAGCAAATGAGATGCTTAATCGACTTTATGACTTAAGAGGATCAGAGAGAATTTGGAATGTCCTCACGTATGTAAACACACTTTGCAATAATTGTGAGGAATCAGTGAGTTTCACTCCAGAAGAATGGAAGATCATTTCATAGGTTTTAGTGGGGAATGTTAATGTTACAAATTAGAAAAAGTTCTCTGTAAATATAAAGATTTTCAATCATCTTTAGACATCACAAATGGAATCTTTGTTCAATCTAGAGAAGATAGTAGGTAAGTTTTAATCAGAATTTAATTTGGGTGCACCTTTCACCACAGGCATGTTTATTGACTTGACTGTGTCTGGAGACTGAAAATTAAAATAGATTTAAAAATTATGTCCTACCACAATGAGTATTAAACCTTGAGGAAATACATTTAAAATTAAAATAACTAGTCTCTTCACTTATATTGGGTGAAAATAAATATTAAAATGTTTTTATGTTTAATGCCCCAAATGCTGCTGTCAAATGATCAGTGTTCAGTAGTTTAAGATATTAAAATTATTCAACAATTTGTAATATGCTTTTAATAAACCATGTGATGTGCTACATGATTCAATAAAATGAATGCATAGTAATATTTACAAACCTTTGAGTGGTGGCCATAATTTAACCATGGTTTTCATTGCCTTAAAAACTTGGAAGCTATGACTAAGGATTTATTATTGTAAAGTAAACATAATAACTTATTAAGAGATAGAATCTGACCTTTAGGTTTGATAGTTGTATGATACTAGTTAATAAAAGAACTACTTGGTTATACCAAGCAGATAAGGTACATATAGAGCCTATCATGATATTTGTAGCATGATGGAGTACCAGAAAATGATCATTAAATTAGAAGGTAAATAAATAACCACCATGGAGTTGATTGTAATATTTTGGTTCAGTTCAAGTCCACTCCTTTAGTTCTTCTGAGTCAGAAACAAACCATGTAGGTGATAAAAGGGTTAGCAAGAATTTGAAATATCCTAAAGACTCTAGAAACTGCCTTTTTTCACCTCAGTCAAATTGGAAGGACATCAGCCTACATCCCTCCTTAAAATGGAGTATCAATCTAGAATAGCATTACTTGAGTGTGTTTTGAGAAATCTTGAGGCAGAGAGACATGAAAAAGGATTAGATTGTGACATGAGGAAAAAAAAATCATTCCATCTAAAATTTATAGTAAGGCAAAGGATAATGATAGTTGTCAGGTACTTAGCCTAAACTAAGCAAGATTTGAAAGAAAATATGTTCTGGAAGTAGATGAAATTGTTCAAGATTGTAAAAGACTGAGAACTCATAAGCTTTGACAATGTTTCTAAAATGTAATTCTAGGTTAGGTCCTGTTCCATCATTAATACTAACATGTAGTGTCCAGAAATGAACGGTCAACTACAGAGTTCATAAAGAAGTTCAGTTCTGCTTGGACTGTGTTAATAATCCCCAGGATCTGGCTTAGTTCCTGTTACATGCTAGCACTTGACCTTTTATTAAATAATTGTACAAGTGAGAATGAAGAGAGTATAGAGTTATCCCTACAAATAGTGCAATTAATAATAATAGTAATAATAATAACAACAACAGCTTCTACTAATTAAATAATTACTGTGTGTTATTTAGGATCCTAAACATTTATAAAATGAAACAAAATGACTGGTAAATGGTGATTCCCTGCATTTGTGAATGAAGAAACTAACCCACAAAGAAACTAAATTGTCTCTAGTCCACACAGTAGACAGATGAACAGCCAGCATTCACATTTCTTTCTGTATGGCATCTGTGTTGGCCAATGAGCTTCCCTATGTCTCAAAGGTATAACTGGGCAAAAATTATGATCTTGGAGGTAGAGGGCTTAAACAGTTTGATAAAAGGATAATAAGGAAAAGAAAGATAAAACAGTAACACAGTAAGAATGAAACTGTAGTTCTCAAGCTCTGGTTCAGAAGTGACTGGCCTTTCAGCTATGGGGAAACAGAGTCTGAAAGAGCTTTTTGTTAGATGGGAGACAAAACCCAAGTTATTGCTAAGCCATGAGTAGTGCTAAGGTTTACCAATCAAATGAGACAAAAGTTGGACAAAACTTTCTGGCCAGTTTCTTGAAATTATACATTGTAAATGATAAATTGAGAGAATTTGGATTTACCAAGAATCTTACAACCTGGTTCAGAACCCAGTGGCACACTGAGTTACCAGATAAGTGATGTCAATACCACAAAGTAGAGTTTCTGCATCTTTAATGCAAGACTTATGATACAGAGGGACTCGGGGCTGCTGGCCTGGACAACCTGGGCAAACAGCTACAGGGCTGTTCTCTATAGAAGGAATATGAAAATTAAAACAAAGAGCACAAGAGATGAAAGCAACAACCAGAATTTGTTTTCAATAAAAAGCTGTGTGTGCACATGCACACTTACATGAGCGTGAGTGTGTGTGTGCACGTGCATGTGTGCATTAGTGTGTGTATGTGTATGTGTGCATGTAGTGTGTGTGTATGTGTTTGTGTGTGTTAGTTACAGGGTATTGAAATCTTAAATATGCTAGGCAAACATTATACCATTAAGCTGTATTAAAATTAATATTTCCCAAGTAATTGAAGATTTATCTGTAAAAATGACAGGTGAAGCAAGGAAACAGAATATATATATATTTCAACAACATCACAAAACCTAAACTAAAACAAAAGTCAATATTAATAAATATATAGAACCAGCAATTATATGAAAATTTATATAGGCCAGACAATTTCAGAAGAAATGAAAAAATAACAAAGGCCATATTTTCTTTTAAAGCTGCAATTATATAAAAATCACATTAGGTTAACAAAACAAAACAACTGGGAGGTAAAAGAGAAAAAAGGTACAATGTAAATGACAAGTTTAGAATTTACACAATTGAGGGATTTCTATACTTTTTTTTTTTTATTGTTTTTTTTTTATTGGATGTTTTATTTACATTTCATATGTTGTCCCCTTACCCCATCCCCCACCCACCCAGGAACCCCCAATCCCCTCACACCTCCTCCTTCTTCTTTGTGGATGTAACCTCTATCTACCCCCCCACTCCCACCTCCCCACCCTCAAAACTCCCACCCCCTGGGGCGTCCAGCCTTCATGAGGTCAAGGATCTCATCTTCCATCTGTGCCCAGCAGGGCCCTCCACTCTTATATATTCAGCTAAGGCCCTGGATCCCTCCATAAGTGCTCCCAGGCTGGTGGTTTAGACCCTGGGAGCTGTGGTTGGTTGGTATTGTTGCTCTCCTCATGGGGCCACAAATCCTTTCAGCTCCTTCAGTCTTCACTCTAACTCCTCCATTGAGAACCCCATGATCACTTCAATGGCTAGTTGTGAGCATCTGCCTCTGAATATGTCAGACTCTTGAAGACCTCTGAGGAGACATCCATATCAGGCTCTTATCAGCATGCACTTCCTGACTTCCACATCAGCATCTACCTTTGGTGACTGCACATGGGATGGATACTCAGGTGGAAAGGTCTTCAGACGGCCCCTCCTTCAGTTTTTGTCCCTCGCTTTGTCTCCATATTTGCTCCCTTGAGTATTTTGTTGCTCCTTCTAAGAAGGACCGAATCACCCCCACTTGGTCTTCATTCTTTATGGAC